TGTACCCTAGCGCCAAATATGGTATTATAATAGTTTTAGAACTAGGGCGCTGTTTATCTTTAACTAGATTATATCAATTTTCATCGTAAGTTAATGATTTACTGTTATATTAAGAAATTCCCGTTGGTAGGAATGTTGCTTCCTGCGAATACTGGCGTTTTGTGACTGGATGAAGCTGGTCCCTGCGGGGGTTACCCGATTCTTTCATATTACTTCTGTCAATCTGTCATGTCATGATTAACCTTATTAGTGACGTGACAGATTAACAATTTGTATGAAAGAATCGGGTGTTCTTTAACTTCTTTCGAGTAGTATATAATGTGCGTACTTGGCTGTAGGTGTAAGGTGTTTATTAAACTATTACCTGAAAATGGTCTGGAACACTTTGTTGTTGTATGAGTGAGTTGGGTTAAGCGCCGCTTTGTATTTAAAAGTATTTCAGTTACATCAACGCCTGATCAGAGAGCGGAAGGTCGGTGGTTCAAATTGCCCGCGTATTACAAAAAGACGTTAAAAGATGGTGCTAAGGGCGCTCGGCATTCATGGAGTAAAACAAGGACAGGCATGAGTGAGTGAGTGAGTTGGGTTTAACGCCGCTTTTAACAGTACTCCAGTAATATCACGGCGTGACAGCTTAATGTGGGAGGAAAGCCCGAAGTAATGCAGGTCTCAGACGTTTACCACTTCGGTGAAACCCACAAGCACGGGTATGGTGCTGACAAACCTAGAACCATAATTGGGGCGAACCGGGATTCGAACGCCACAATCGCGGCGCCTTAGACGACTGGGCCCCCCGATGCAGTCTTAGACGTCTACCACATTGGTGAAACCCACGAGCACAGGTATAGCTAGCGCTCACAACCAAAAGATCATGAACAGGGCGAATCTTGAATTCGAACCCCCGATGATAGGTTTCTGGCACGCCAAAGGGACACAACTCGGCACAGCGAATTGCGACGCCTAAGACCACTGTTCTTCCCGTGCACCCCCTCCCCCCTCCCCCGATTTTATCGAATTCAAAGGGGACTGAAAATAAAATCTACAAGTGCCCCGCCCGCACCCTACCCCAAACAAACATAATATAATTAGGCACATCGCATTATGAAATATTCATTTCATGTCTGTTTCGGAAATACATGTTTAAATATTGTTAAAAAAACCAAATTGGTCTGAGTCCGAGCTACTAAATGTCTGATGGTGACAATAAAGATATCATTTGAATAAAAAAATAAATCCAGGTTATTGACGATCGCGACTGCAAATGTGAACAAACATAATCAAACTGAAATTATTAAGCAACTGAATGTGAACTTCTGGTTGTGGCTCAACACGAACTGGACCTTTCATTTATCAATGTGCCCCACAGACATTAGTTTTGGCACATTATCAAGATATTGATAAGACTTACATTCCAAGGAAACGTCATAAAACAACCTCAATCATAATTGTCTTGGCTATTACCATTGCAAATGTCCATCACAACTCTACCAACTGGAAGATGTTGTTCAAAGCTGTCCAGTATTTTACATTCTCTTTGTTATCCGCATCCACGTCAAACTCTCAATTTTCAATCGTTGATCGTCAGAAGTCATAATTGTTTTAGTTCAGAAACTCACTTACGGAACACTACTTTTTGTATGTTGGTGATTGATTTAAACGGACATCATTTAATTTCAGACAACCTCGCATTTATGAAGATGAGACAAGGAATAGCTTTACAACATCTCAACATCGTAATGATTGATGTATCTGAACACGTTTGAACTGGCAGACAAATAACACATATAACTTTTGACTGAATGCCATTTAGAGTGAGTGAGTGAGTTTGGTTTAACGCCGCTTTTAACAGTATTCCAGTTATATCGCGGCGTGTCAGCTTAATGTGGGAGGAAAGCCCGAGGTGATGCAGGTCTCAGACGTTTACCACTTCGGTGAAACCCACAAGCACGGGTATGGTGCTGACAAACCTAGAAACATAATGGGGCGAACCGGGATTCGAACCCACAATCATAGGTTTCTGGCGTGCCCAAGGGACGCAACTCTGCACAACGATTCTCTCAGACAGAACAGTTTGTCTTCAGGCGGTGCTCCCCTGGAAGGTGGTACCAAACTATTTACGGACGCAACTCTGCACAGCGAATCGCGGCGCCTTAGACGACTGGGCCACCCGTGCCCCCCGAGTAGCATTTAGAGTGGACCAGACATTCTAGTGATTGACATAAGCATCGATCTACCGAATTCGGAGATGATGACAAGTTTCAGCCACGTCAGTCGTCACTTACGACAAACAAGGGTTGATGAAGTCAACTTTAACCCGGATCTTCAAGTGGCTCTGTGGGCGCATTGATGGCTCTGCGATTCGGTATACAGAGTTACGTCCCTTAGCCGTACCGGGATCTGATGATTGTGTAAGACTTGTTTCATTTTGATGTCAACCGATTGCGCTGAAACGACGTGATACAACCGAGATAGTATTCATAGCGTAACTGATTTAGTCACTGACGTATGTCGACACTCTGTATATGGTTGTTACAATGACAGTTCGCGTGGTTCTGGTATAGGTGAAAATGTTGTCGTTCGTACATGCATATGGTTCATATTTACAATGATAACAATATGACTAGATACAAATAATAATGAAAATACTGGTGTCGGGAACATTCAAGTGTTGCACCATCGAGCATATATTCTGGCAAGAGTTTTGGTCCGATTAGGTTAGGAACGCACCTTTTAAATACTGGGGGAGGTGTGTGTGTGTGTGTGTGTGTGTGTGTGTGTGTGTGTGTGTGAGTGTGAGAGTGTGTGTGTGCGCGTGTGTGTGTGTGTGTGTGGTGTGTGTGTGTGTGCGTGTGTGTGTGTGAGAGTGTGTGTGTGCGTGTGTGTGTGTGAGAGTGTGCGTGTGTGTGGTGTGTGTGTGTGTGTGTGTGTGTGAGAGAGATAGAGTGTGTGTGTGTGTGTGTGTGTGTGTGTGTTTGGAAAACAGGCTATATGTTTCATCGCTGCTACAAAACACACATTTTTTTCTGTGTATGGAGTCAAACAATTTCTCTTTTTTTCACAAAACATTATGTTTCAATACATCCAGCAGCTTCCTTTAAACTTTATCGTCTGAAAAAAATAGAAAAACAATCCCGCCCCCAAAGAATATGAAATGGTGGGTCTATTAACCTCATAAACGCACATCTACATCCCATATAAATCGTTCGGATTAACATTTTTCGGGATCAAACAACTCATTGTTATGGAGCATTGTCTTAAGTGCGTAAATGTTCATAACAGTGGAATACAGGGGGTCTGGATTAAAGAGGTTTCACTTTCTTCAGTTCTGATCAACAAACCTAGGGCAATAGGATTTCTCAAATTCAGTGGCAGCACTGTGTTCCGAGAGATGTCTCCAAACGGATCTATATAACTTTCAACTTAAAATTAAACCTGGCTTTATTTGAAAATCAACACTAATACCTAAACCGTTTCTACCTGGGTTTGTAATTCCTCTTCCGGTGTGACTTCTGCGCAATTGTATGCGCATCAGTCAAGCTCAGGCTGACGGGGAGACCCTTCGTGTTTTGTATTTTAACGCTTTATATTCTCAAAAAGCTACACCCAAATGACTTATAATGTCACCTCGTTTATATGGCGTAATTTTTAATCAGTGCACATTAAGCGATGGCGCCAAACATGTTGGTCTTGGTATCATGGCAGTGTCGGCTGAGAATACTGCAAGAAATGAACCTTGTACCGATAGCAGCCAAACTTGATTAAACTGGTTCGAGAAATGAAATAATAAACCAATTTCTGCAGCAATTTCAAGAACCCTTGGGAGACAAATTCTGTTGTGAATGAATAACGCTTACCCTTTGCATGACTTATGCGTTGAGACGTCTTGTGATTCTGTTTAAAGCTTGAAATGTCATTTTCAGGTTCTTGCTGGAAAGTCTAGTGAAATATGACTGTTGATTTCGAATACATTTAAGCACTTTGACTACTTGTAATTTATATGTTCATAAACTTTAATTGAAATGTACTTCTTCTCCTGGTGAGTGGAAAATTATAATTCGTAGGTTGTGGGTTTTTCTGGTAAATCAACAGAGCAGACAGTAAATTGTTTTCAGACAAAGGGGAGCACCTTCTTGCTCCGTCTTGTGTTCACCAACACGTTACACAAAAATCTCGTTGTTCAGTGTCTCTGTGATATGTTCTGACAGCTCAACAATAGAATTGCAATCTGGGTAAAAGTCCGATACATGGTACAAGACGTGTAAGGTCTGGGCAAAAACCAGTGCAATACGTAATACGTGAAATTGTATCCGGAAGCTTCGCTAGACCCCGTGCAGCGCGTAATACGAGAAATTGTATCCGGAAGCTTCGCTAGACCCCGTGCAGCACGTGATGCAAGACATTATCCGGAAGCTTCGCTAGACCCCGTGCAGCACGTGATGCAAGACATTATCCGGAACCTTCGCTAGATCCCGTGCAGCACGTGATGCAAGACATTATCCGGAACCTTCGCTAGACCCCGTGCAGCACGTGATGCAAGACATTATCCGGAAGCTTCGCTAGACCCCGTGCAGCACGTGTTGCAAGACATGTATCCAGGAGGTTCGCTGGACCCCGTGCAGCACGTGATGCAAGACATTATCCGGAAGCTTGGCTAAAACCCGTGCAGCACGTGATACAAGAAATAAATCCGGAAGCTTCGCTAGACCCCGTGCAGCACTTGATACAAGACATGAATCCGAAAGCTTGGCTTTTAAAAGCTTTTACGCCGCTTTTAGTAATATTCCAGCAATATCACGGAGGGGGACACCAGAAATGGGCTTCACGCATTGTACCCATGTCGGGAGTCGAACGCGGGTCTTCGGCGTGATGAGCGAACGCTTTAACCACCAGGCTACACGACCGCCATCATTGGAACGATTGGTACATTCTGACCTTAACTTTAGTAGATGACAGACATATTGTGTTGGATAGGAAATCGAAAAAATAACACCAAACCAAACCTACCTTTTTTCTTCATAAAAATCCACAAGACACAAGCATTTTTATGTGGCTTTATACTAAAAAAACATTGCATGTTTTGCAGAAACTTACGTATAATATATCGTATGCACGTATAATATATCGAACAACGACAATTACAATCAACCACCAGTGTCAAATATTCTGCAAGGCGGTATTATGATCTATTTGAGATTCCGTATGAATAATACCCTATCGTACATAATACTTTTTACAGGGTATCGCCTCGCCAGAGTTTGATACTCGTTTGAGATAGTAGCACCACACATACTAAAAATGAAAAACACTGAAAACTGTTAACCATGCCCTGCAGGAATCGTGTAGCTCAAAGGACAAATAATGTGGACACATGCTATAGTATTTTTTCAGAAACGGCGTGTCTCCCATCTGCGGTATTGCTTCTATTCACGATAGTGTTAACAAACCGTTTTTATAATATTTCCGGCCTAGACTTCATAGTATTGTTTGTTCAGGCTGAGTCCGCAATTTTGAGACTGACACATAAATGCATTTGGACCAAAGCGAACGGTTTAAAATCCCCGTAGACCGGGGTCTGTTCAGTATCATAATTACTGAACATTTACATTGTGGCTATCCTTCGAGTTCACTTGTGTGTTTTAAAGTTATGTTCATAAAATTGAGGATTCATACACTTATTTTCGCAGTGAAGTTTGTTAATTGTAAATACTTAGGGAGAGTAGACACTGTAGTAAGTGTAAATGAATAGCGGCAGCGAGTGGGTTAAATTTAGAGTTACTACCCGTGGTTGTTTACAAACATGACAGGCTTCATCGTTCGAGAAGTTTCGGGCTGTTCAAGCCAGTTGCACGAGGGCGATTTCAGGCCTTTTTTGGCCTGACGTGCGTGTAATCTACTTACCAAGTGCGGAAGGGATACGTATAAACACCGATTTCTGGGTTAATCTCTGCATTTCAATGTGGATATCACATCGAAACATGTTCTAAAGCAAAACTCCAATGTAATTCTAATAAAGTGAAACCTCGTTAATCCGTACGTAAACCGTTCCAAGGAAATTGTCCGGATTACGTTAATTCCTGTTTAAGTAGTCATGGGTATGGAGTGAGTTCCTTTGTGTGTATAAATGCATCCTAAACAGATCGTCCGGTAGGTTGATTTTTCTCATTAACGGTGTCCGCACTAACAATGTGTCACAGTATCGTATACGTGGACTTTATCGGGTACTTAGAGTTGACTAGTTATTCAGATGAGGCACACGGTGCAATGCGTAGCATGCAACATTCCATCTCACACAACCTCACATTATGCCATTATTGTATATATGCAAACAGACCACCATCTTGTCTTCACAACGTTAAACAGAACCTGGGCTTGGCAGATCCTTTCGGTCCTGTCCGTCGTCATAATTGTAATCCACACGAATCTCACAAGCGGTCTCACAAATCGTCACTCCATCCATTTAGGGCAGAAAAACGAATATTAAACTCCATCCCTGAATCGCGATTCTTATCATAAGGCCCTGACGTCGGTTTAAATCCTACGACTTCTTCGTCGAAAAGATTGTCATATGTAGGATCAATATCATCCACATTCGTTTCTTTAACGTTATTGGCAGGTTTCTTAGGTTTCCGCACAATTGCATAATCATCGTCATTAATGGTATAATGTTCCACGCCATTGGGAACAGACAGAGTCCCGTTCTGTAAAACTAGTGGTTGTTCCTCCGGTGCGCTTCCGCTCCCCTTCTTCGCCTTCTCGTTGGAGGCTCTGTTCGAGCGGATGGGTACGTCGTCGCTTGTAAGACTTGTGTAAGAGGCGTATTGGTTGTACCCGTCGTTGAACTCGTCATCTTTGGAATCCCTGAAGCTGGAGAAACGTCCGGTGAGGTGACTGGCCCGCTTCTGGCCGTCCGTGGGGGACAGGTTGTGGACGGTTGCGACGGTGTGTTTGCCCTCGTCAGTTTGAGATCCAGGAGTGTGGATTTCCGTCACCTCCGAGGGGTTCGAGTTCTCGGCGATACTGTTATGTCGAACACCTTCAATTTGTGTCGTGTCATCATTTTTCCACAAGGCTATCTTTTCGCTCGACTCAACCTTGTATTGACCTTTCTGGGCTATTCCACGATAACTGCAAGAAAATATGAACATTGTGAATACATACGTTTCGTAAAGTAGGTTATGCAATAAAGAGTGATCTCCCTTGAGTAACGGGAGAAATGTGTTAATTTCCGCTTTTTTCGTGTTTTGTGGACAAATGGGTCTTAAAATTTCTTGGACATTTCTCACATGTCAAAAGGATTGCCCCCTAATATCTTTATCATTTTAATGTTTATCATGCCCCATATTATTCTATCATTCCACTAGGGTATCGCAACTTGCTGTGTAGAGTTGCGTCCCTTCGCTGCCCTCACGATTATAACCCTTCCTATGTCTGCCCCCTAGCAAAAATTTGCTTGGTTGAAGCCCGTGTATCGCCGTACTTTCCGGCCATCTTTTTCTTGTTTACCTCGGCGAAGCTTAGGTTTGAGATTTGATGTTTTTTTTATATAAAATAAATACGAGATAAGGCGACCACAGATGAACACGACTGTTTAGCCTATGGTTTGTTTAGCAGGTGCCAATAGGTTGAAATATGTAACATTCATATGTCATGTGACATCGAGCTGTGATTCGAACCGAGTGCGAAATAATGAATAAGGACCAAGATGGCGGGTGTCACTTGTCTATATGTTTATGGGGGTGTGATTTTTTTCTATACGAATATATTATACTATACACGCGATCATCGAGTTCCTGTATCTCAGACGTTTCAAGTTTCTGTGAAAAGTTGCGTCCCTTGGTCATGCCAATATCCTATGATCGTCGTTCGCAGAATCCCACTTCGCTCCGATAATGTTTCGATAAATTTGTCGTGGGTTTTACCGTTTTGAACGTATAATACCTGCATCACTTCGGGGTTTCCACCCACATGAAACCGACATGCCGTGATTTAACAGTTCAAAGCGGCGTAAAACTCACTCACTCGATTAGCCAATCTATTATCCCCATTATATTATGATTACTATACACCATAATAGAATGGAGATTGAAAATAGTTCAACTAAACTCGCACACTTATTCAATCTGAAACCAAGCCAAGTCACAATCGTTCAAATCCGCAGAAAAAAAAGGTAATAAAACATGACCAAAAAAGAAGCTCCGATTGCCCGCCTCACTCTCAGCACTTCCATGGCCATTCAGAGTCTGGTAATGACCACCTCGGTATGTTTCTCCGACTCGACGCGACCTTAATTATCCGAGTCCCATGTGGTTAGTTATTCCGGAGTGCGCTCGCCTACATCTAAAGTACGTCTCCATCCCAAGCCCTGCCACCTACCTCATCACCACCAGCTCCCTACAGAGCGCCCCCTATTGTACATTACCTTGCCCCCGAGTCCCTGGACACCGAGGGTCCAGACGCTGCCACACCTGCCTCCCCGACTCAACCCTACACCACAAGTGACCAATGAGCCTTGTAGCAAGAATAATGACGTCTTCTCAGACTATTTGAGCTGTGATTTAAACATATATCTTAGCCTTATCCACCATCAGGGCATATGCATTAGGCTACGGGCCTTTGGGGATGTATGTTCATAAACTTTGTCAATAAGACGGTCTTGACTTGACTGGTTATTGGGCAAGGAGACGCAAACTCTGAACGGTGAGACGGTAAGTCTCAAGAGACGGCGGTTCCTGCAACGCAGACATCTATAAGGCAGTTCTAATGATAAGCTTCGGGCTTGAGGATGGTAAATACACAGACGGATCATGAGATGCTATACTATTTTGATAATATGTAGCAATTCATTCAGTCATCTATTAGAGAAATGGATCGCTTTGGTCATGTATCTGAAAGGAAGGGATTGACATTCTTTGGGGATGCGATGTCAGCGACGTTCGCAATATCGTTCCACCAAGACAGAACTCTCATCTGTACATGGACGGTGATTTCAGGCGGTAGGTCAGTCGATGCTTGTGATACTGAGACTCCATTCAAACGTATATTTATTGTGGTAGGAAAGGCAACTTGTTCCTGTGATGACATATCGAAGGATTATTTATGAATCTCAGACCGCGGACATGCTCCACTGTCAGAGCGTTCAGGACCCGTGAAGATCCGGGGTAGAATAGGCCTTCAGCAACCCATGCTTGCCGTAAAAGGAGACTATGCTTGTCCTAAGAGGCGACTTACGGGATCGGGTGGTCAGGCTCGCTGACTTGGTTGATGTATGTCATTGATCCCAATTGCGTGGATTGATGGTCATGATGTAAGTCACTGGATTGTCTGGTCCAGATTCGATTATAACAGACCGACTCCATATGCTGGAATATTGCTGAGTGCGGCGTTAAACAACAAACCACCAAACAAACAAACAGAGCGTTCAGAGCATTGTCAGTGGGATAGTGTTGGTTGCATGGTGATGAAAAGCAAAACATAATACTTGTGTTTTAATGAAATACAGACGCATCGACTCGTACCCCCGCTATCCAGGCCTGATAGTCTGATTCCCCCGTCCCTCCCCACCACTGAAGTGTTGAAAGTTCATTTTATTATTAAAAACTCGACCCCTAACAATGCGGAGAGAGTTGCGCGAGTCTTTGAATTACTTATAGTGTACCTATGGACACATATACACATTCTATTTATATACAGAGAAATTTAAGCGTCCCGCTGGTGTTAGAACGGTGGATAGAAGGCCTGATCAGAGAGAGGAAGATCTGTGGTTCGAATTGCCCGCGTCAAACAAAAAGACGTTAAAAGATGGTACTTAGGGCGCTCGGCTTTAACGGAGTAAAGCAGGGACAGGCATGAGTGAGTGAGTAAGGTTGGGTTTAACGCCGCTTTTAACAGTACTCCAGTTATATCACGGTGTGTCAGCTTAATGTCGGAGGAAAGCCCGAAGTGATGCAGGTCTCAGACGTTTACCACTTCGGTGAAACCCACGAGCACGGGTATGGTGCTGACAAACCTAGATACATAATCGGGGCGAACCGGGATTCGAACCCCACAATCAAGGGTTAGACGACTGAGCCACCCGCCCTCTCCCCCCCCCCCCCCCCCCCTTTCCGACTAGAAGAGACCACCACTGCAGACACGTGGCTATATAAGTACAATAATCTTGAACTCTCCTCAAAGTGAAACGCCGGTAACCCGGACAGCGTGAAATAGTCTGGATTAACACACACGGATTAATGAATAATGCATGGGTACCCGATAAAAAGGCTTAACTTCTAAGCGGTGTAGGATGAGAAACATTATCCCAGATAGTAGGATACACTCGCCTGACGATGAGCAACCCAACCCCCGCTATAAGGGATATCCACATATCTACACTTGCCAATAAGGAACATTTTAAGGGACTCACCTGATAATGACGAACACCAGAGCGATGAGCAGAGCGAGAATGACAATGCCGAAAAACACGTACAAGATCACAAGCTCTGAAAACAGAAAACAATGTATTAAGCATGGCATGAACTGTTGACGCCATCAGAAGGTCCCTTTAAGATGAGAGTGCCTGTCCTGAGTTTATCGCTGTTTTGAACAAAATTTCAGTTATACTAAGACATGTTGACAGGATCCAGGAAAGCAAAGTGCGTAACTGTGCACGACCTTTATGCCACAGATGCTCATCATCATATAGATTGTGATAGACGCCGATGATTATAGAAAAGAAGACCAGAGTTGTCTATCATTCTCAGGGGGCACGGGTGGCCCAGTTGTCTAAGGCGCCGCGATTCGCTGTGCAGAGTTGCGTCCTTGGGCACGCCAGAAACCTATGATTGTTGGTTCGAATCCCGGCCACATTAAGCTTACACGCCGCGATATAACTGGAATATTGTTAAAAGCGGCGTAAAACCCAACTCACTCACTCATTATCATTCTCAGGGGGTGAGCAGTCCCAATGCCTCATGCATTGATTCCAAATTTTGACGGTAGTCAAGTCATATTACATCAAAACATATGCATATAGAATTATAATTGCTTCGCAGAAAATATGTGGATGTTGGTCAAGCTTGAGGGGATTGAGCAAAATTCTCATAGTGAACACTGGTTGATAAAAAAAAATGTTGTGTGTGGGGCACCCTGCTGGACCCTCGTGCTCCGACGGGCCTGTGCTATACACTACATATCATCCTTACTCAGGGTGATGGATGAATGTGACATTTATAAACCAGTGAAGAATTGATGAGTCTTCATAATAGGCATGTTGGTGTATCTTCGAATTTTAAACTTAAGTGTTTGAATAGCTGTCAACTGTCGGTTGAAGATTGATCATGTAGACAGCCACTAAACACCTCTTACTCATTATTTGGCATTGAACATCCCAAACCGAAACTATTTCGCCAATAAAAAAACCCTGACTGGATGCTTCACCGTATAAGTTTCATATCAGTAGGTAGATGAGGCATCACACAGAACCGTTTCATCACTGACTGATTGTCACCAGCCATCGAATCCTATTTCAAATTACTTTTAAATATCTTTCATGCAGATAGCCATTGATTTATGGTTAGTCTCAGCATGCCCGTTTACATGTCACATAAACGCAACGCCGACTCTGATTATTGAATTGATTCGCCAATACGAATAACAGTAGGGCATCGTGGATATACAGGTGGGTTAGAAGCAAATCGATGAGCCAGTGCGTTGGTCTGTACTCCGCGAACATTAAAGTAGAGAAAAACAACCAAGATCAATTAGGATTTATGTGCCATCTTGGAGCACCAGTGACGCAAGCGTCTAAGGCGCGGCAATTTGCAGTGTTGTCTAAGAGTTGCCATCCTTTGACGTCCCAGAATCCTAAGAACGCGGGTTCGAATTATAGATTCGTCAATATCAGTTGCGGTTTGTCAGTACCATTCCTATGCTTGTGGTTTCATTAGAGAGGAACATTGTTCAGACTTGCATCATTGCTTTCTTCCCATATGAAGCAGACACACAGTGATATAACTGAAATACTGTTCAAAGCGGTGTTTAACCTGTTCACTCACTTATCTCGTGTGCTACATCTTCGGTGCGAACGTTCGGCTTTTGTTCTCTTATTTTGTAAATGTTTGTTTGTTTGTTGTTTAGCGCCGCACTCAGCAATATTCCAACTGTATGACGGCGGTCTGTAAATAATGGAGTCTTGACCAGACAATCCAGTGATAGACATCATGAGCATCGACCCTCGCAATTTAGACACGATGACATGCATCAACCAAGTCAGCGAGCCTTACCACCCGATCCCGTTACAAGCATAGTCGCCTTTTACGGCAAGCATGGGTTGCTGAAGACCTATTCTACCCCGGATCTTGACGGGTTGTATTTTGTAAATGGCGACATTTATCATTGCAATTTCGCAAACATCCAAAATCTAACCCGCATTCGTGATGTATCGTCAAATTGTCAACGATCACGACTTGGTCTGGGCTCCTGTCTACCTTATCGTGTAGACAGGCGGTGGCCAATTCCTCGTAGGCGGCGATTGGGCGGCACTAAACAGAACATTCATTGGTCCTCAGTATCGAATGAAACAAATCCCGGACTACATGAAGTTTATTTGACAACTAAATGAATATCAGAAGCGGAGTTTGTCACAATGTTTATTCCAAAAGAACTCCGGAGGTGATGATATGTATCAGCGTTCATTCGTTATTAAGGACGCGCCGCATGCGCAGCTATCACCGGATATGGTACAGGTTTGTATCTGTTGAAGAGTTTTGGGCCGCTGCCTGTTGGTCAAAAGCGCCAAGCTTGCTGCACCAACCAACAGAAACACCACTTTATAGACACCTCTGGCCGCTTTCTGTGTCGACCGCCTCCGTGGTCTAGTGGTAGAGCGGAGAGCGGAAAGTCCGGGGTTCGAACCCCGGCCGCGTCATACCAAAAGGCGTTGAAAGATGGTACTTGTTGCTACCCTGGCGCTCGGCATGAAGGGGCTAAAAAAAGGACTGGTCGGCTCAGTATATTGTGTCTGAGTGGGATATTCATGTTAAACTGCGGCATGGTATCTCAGTGGGCAAGCACTATAAATCGGCATCTGTCCGGACTAGTACAAGTAGCCACACACATACACACACACACACACACACTAACACACACACTAACACACACACTAACACTAACAGGCTGGAAGTGCAATTATCTTTGACGTTAAACTTTCTGTATCGCATGCAGTACAATAATATATACTGACTAGGTTTTGTCGCTATACCCGCAAGCACAATGAAGTGGAATCCGAATCGCGATTCTTCCCGAAATGGGTAATTCGTGACCACTCGTGTCATTCCGGGACGAGCGGATCTCCGAGTGTTGACGAATGAAGATTGATTCGAGTCGCAATACACCCCCGGGGGGGGGTTTCGAATCGCAGTTATTCGCGGATTTAAATGGGTAGTCGCGGATAAGTACCGGCATGTCTCATTTAGCGAATTGAGATGAGCTATTTTAACTTGTAAACACTACTGAAATGCCAACAAACTAAAAAGTCTCATTAACTGTGATACAAAAATACACAAGAAACACTTCGACTGAGTTCGGTGACCAAGAACTTGACACCTGCCAAGACAATACAAACATAATTACCGGCACTGCAAAACATGCCGAGGTATTCGGCAAAACAGACCGGATGTTCACTGTCAGTGTCCCCCGGGAAACAAATATCACTAAAGTTACACAAAGCTGCCCCGATTGTGCAGTACATGGTGATACCATTGGGGTATTATATTAGTAATCTACATACCTAGCGGTTGTCTTTGTTTAACATTCATTAAAAAAATAAAATGCATGCCGGCATGAAGAACATCATCAGATGCTGGTAGGAGTTGATTAGTTTGCTCCTCCTGAGGGCAGAGCATCTTGAGTGAGTGAGTGAGTGAGGGACTAAAACAAGGACTGGTCGGCTCAGTATACTGTCTGAGTGGGGTATTCATGTTATACTGCGGCATGGTATCTCAGTGGGCTAGCACTATAAATCGGCATAAGTCCGGACTAGTACAAGCAACCACACACGCACGCACGCACGCACGCACGCACGCACGCACGCACACACACACACGTGCATGCACGTCGCGATGTAAGTGCAATAATCTTGGACGTTAAACTTGCTGTATCGCATGCAGTACAATTATATATGCTGACTAGGTTTTGTCGCTATACCCGCAAGCGCAATGAAGTGGAATCTGAACCGCGATTCTTCCCGAAATGGGTCATTCGTGACCACTCGTGTCATTCCGGTACGAGCGGATCTCCGAGTGTTGACGAATGAAGATTGATCCGAGTGAGTGAGTGAGTGAGTGAGTGAGTGAGTGAGTGAGTGAGTGAGTGAGTGAGTGAGTGAGTGAGTGAAAGGACGTTATACCATAGTCAGTAATATTCCAGGTACATCACGCATACATTTTACGAAAGATATACTTGTTTGTTTGTTTGTTTGTTTGTTGTTTAGCGCAACACCCCAGTTCCAATATTCCAGTTATGTTACGACGGCTGGAAAAAAATGGAGGCAAACCAGTGGTTGACATCATGAGCAACGATCCACGCGGGAATACTCACCGTGAGTTCCAATTAGAAGCAGTTCTAGCCAAATAAGACAACGTTTGTTTACAGGTTGTAACGCCGCAGTCGAAAACGTTACAGCATGACAACATGGCCGCCTATAACAGTTGAGCCTGGACAAGGCAAACCAGTGATTGACATAATGAGCCGCGAGTACATTGAAACGTTATCAACTAAGTCACCGATCCTGACCACAGATCCACTAAGTCGCCTCTTACGAGAAGCGTCGTTTGCAGGGGAGTAATTCTAACCCCATGGGGGTGTTGCAATGTAAGCCCGTCTAGCCTCATCTCCTTTGAACATCTACACAAGGGGATGCTGATGCTAATATATTAGCTTTAAAACAGACTGGGTGTCCACTAAGCTGTGTTTCTTTCCTCTGAAGTCATCGTAATGAATTCAAGACACAGACAAGGGGGGATCATGAGGGCATAGATTTTTCAAATTGAACTTAGCAAACATCTATAAATTTTTGTTTATCTAGTACGTATCTCGATTTAATTATCTCGAATTTAATCCTCTTTTTCAAACAGGAAACTATTTGGAATCTAAAACACATTGCAGGAGCATATAATCACTGTCGGGAATTTAATTTATTGTCTCGGATATTAACCCTTTCTTGCAAATATCACATTTTCTGGAATAGAAACATATTTTCCGTAATATTTACTGAGGGGAAAAACCCAACAACTATGCCCCACAGTTGGTTTTATCATATGATTCATTTTCAATGGAAAATATCTTAAGTTGGCAATATTATATCCAAAACAAGAACTGTACTGGCAATTAGTCACCACTCAAAGAATACTTCCGGTTATATCTTTTAAAATATATTTTTATTTAAAACTCTTAAAACTGAATTTTCCCCGTTATATCCTATAAAATATATTTATATTTAAAA